CCTCAGTTTCCCTTTGCTGTGCTGGTCCCTGTCCCCCCCGTCCCCACCTCCCCCAAGCTGGGACCACCGAGCCCCAGCGGGATGAGTCCCGGGGTGGGCTGTGGGGCACGGACAGACCCCGCTTCTCCGTCGAGGAGGGGTTTGAGGTCACCTGAGCACCCATCAGTGCAACGCTGGGGATATCGGGGACTGAGAAAGCCCCCACACCCCTGTGGGACACCCTCCTAGCCCTGGGCTGACCTTTATGCCATGGCCGATGTCGTCCAGGACGCTGAAGTTGAGGGGTTTCCTGTAGTAGGGCTCCAGGCAGGGCGGGCTCGGGGGGGACATGATCTTCTGGTAGGATGGGAACCTCTTGCTGGCGGTCAACGAGCCGATCTCCCGGCGAGACACCTTCTCCTTGTGCATGTCAACCCTCTGCGGAGATGGCACCGTCCCCACTGTCCCAGCCCAGGTTCTCCTCACCTCCTGCCGCCCCCTCTAAGTCCCACCGCCCTTCCCGGCCCCGTCTCCCTGCCTGTTCGGGAAGGATCAGGGTTGAGCCAAAGTCACAGGGACAGATCCTGCTCTGCTCCATCACACCAGGGCGAGTGATGCCTCTGATGCCACCGCAGTGGATCTGGCCCTTCCCAGAGCAGGGGACGGTGGGGACAGGGCAGTGGCATGGGGAGGTATGAGCCTCGGCCGCCTTATAAGTTGTTTTCCTGCTGTTCCCGGCGTGGCCAGAGGGTCCCGTCTCCTCCCATGGCTGGAAAGGCTCCAGGCAGCTTCCAAGTGCCAGGAAGAGGGCGGGTGGCCATGGGACTCCGCATCGGTGTCCCTCAGCTCTGGGAGGACGAGGCCAGGCCCCAGCAAGGGGGGTTGGCATGACAGCCAAGCCAACACTCTGAGCCCCGTTGCTCCACTTTGGCTCCTCTGAGGTTTCCAAGGCAGTTCCCACGGTCCCCTCCACTGGGATTTGCAAGTGCCCAGACTGGGACAACACCCAGGTGACCAGTTTCCCAGCCCTGGTTGGACTCATGATGTGTTGGGTGACCCTCCCACCACCACCCAAGCAGATGGTCCAAGGCAAGGTGATGCTATGGGGGGGGGCTGACGGGCTCTTGAAGCTGTGGGGAAGGAGGGTCTTCAGCCCCTTCCACCTGCCCAAACCCCCTTTCCTGGAGCCCACCCCCTTCTCAGCACCCAAACCCCAACACGTGCCAGTACTGGTCCGAGGACGGTCCCACCTGGGCCACGCAGCTGACATCGGCCTCCACTTCCCGCAGCTCGGCCGCCTGCAGGTCCAGCAGCCGGAGGAAGGCGGTGGCCAAGCTGCTGACCTGGTACGTCACGCTGGCCAGGGACTGCGTGCTCAGTGCCATCGTCTCCTCCAGCGCCTTCCGCTTGTCGCTGGCCTGGAGGGGGAAACCCAGCCGGTGGGATGAGCCCACCCCGCACGGCCACCGCTGCCCTCCGTCTTCACGTTGGAGTCACACGGTGAAGCAAAGATGCTTCCTTCTGCTTTCCAAATGCATCAAACTTCCTCCGGCTCCGCCGGGGGGAACGCACAGATACCCGGACCCCGTCAGGCAGCGGCGCTTGGCTTTTTTGGCGCTGGGGATTCACCATGATTCCTCCCCGGGATGCTGCTGTTTCGGCAGGTGCCGGAGGTGAGTGCATGGCTCAGCCTCCCACCACCCTTGGGGACAGCCGGCCGTGCCACTTGCGAGGACAGGCGGCCAAGCCCCCAGCCGGCCCC